TTTTGAGGGTGTGTCGGACTAGCTGCTAGGCAAGCGTTATGACGCTCTGACATCACAGCAAAGCGGAAGAAAAGACTGCACTACAAGTGAGCTGTTTTCAGGCAGTTCAGAGCAGAGTTTTCTGTGGGAGATGGAAACTCACTTTTGGGTGGACTTTGGGCTTTTTCACTTTGCAAAAAAGGTATATAACTCAATAAAGGAGAGGGAAAAAGCATAATCTGACCTTTTTAAACATAAAACTGTGTCTAGGTGCCGTCCTGGCCCATAAGGGCTACTTCAGAGAGGCTCGTGATGTGTTTGCACAGGTGAGGGAGGCCACAGCAGACATCAGTGACGTGTGGCTAAATCTGGCTCACATCTACGTCGAACAGAAACAGTACATCAGCGCTGTACAGATGGTGAGAGCCTCACTTGTGATCACCTGTAAATATAATTGACTATTTTTTCTGTACAGTTGATGATTTTATTCTGCTCCACAGTATGAGAACTGCCTGAAGAAATTTTACAAATATCAGAACACTGAGGTGCTGCTGTACCTTGCAAGGGCACTCTTCAAATGTGGGAAACTCCAAGAGTGCAAGCAGATGCTGCTGAAGGTAACATGAAGCAACAATTTAAGGGGTTTATTTTATGCTATGAGGGGGATATAGCTTTATACTTCGGTCTTTTTTGATTCCAACAAGGCCCGTCACGTGGCGCCCAGTGACACGGTGCTGATGTTCAATGTGGCTCTGGTGCTTCAGAGACTGGCCACTCTTGTGCTGAAAGATGAGAAGAGCAACTTAAAGGCTGTGCTCAGCGCTGTCAAAGAGTTGGAACTGGCTCACAGGTAGTGGATTTGATTTATGCCGCCTGCTCTCTGTCTGATCCTCTGGCTGTGCCTAATCCTGCAATTTCATCTCCCTCTCCTCCTCCTGACACAGGTATTTCAGCTACCTCAGCAAGGCTGGAGACAAGATGAGGTTTGACCTTGCTCTTGCCGCTTCTGAGGCCAGGTCAGTCTAGTTTAGTTTTATACATGCCTTTTTTGCACATTTAAAATAATTTTATGCAAACCTTAATTGTTTTTTGTTGTTTTCTTAAAGAAACTGATACAAATTAGACCAAATTGGGCTTTAACTTTATGTGGTGTTGCAGTGTTTCCCACAGATTGACAGCGTAACTGGGGGGGGTTATACAGCATGGTAACTTCGACAGCTGTTTTCCAATGTTAACATAGCTATCCTTATTAGCTAGGCTCCTTATGTGCTTGCTAATAACTGTTTGGAAGATAGGTCTCCGACATTGACAGCGTTGTGTTGGACAGATTTGTGCTGCAGTGTTTATGATACCAACCATTCAATTCACAGACGGGTCTGTTGTCTGTGTTTGCGAGAGAGAGAGAGAAAGAGAGGTTGTACGGAGTGAATATGCGCTGCTCAGCGCTGCAATGAATGATTTTAAAACGGGTCGCCAAATTTACTTGGGCAGCTTTTAATCCACCTGGGCGGCCCACCCAAGTAAAGCCTATGTATGGGAAACACTGTGTTGTTTTTAAATGCAGTAAAGCATTACATTCTGTTGTGAACCTTATTCTTTGACTGAAACACTCCAATTTCACAAACAGCACTGGCACTAAAGGTAGTTGTTTTTTAAAATCTAATATGAACAGATACTAATAGTTTGCCTTTATTTTGGCATTAAACTTGATTACAATGTTTTACATGGGGCTTGTGCTGGAGCATGGTTCATTGAGTGCAGGTTGTAATATCACTGGGGGGGTTATGGGTGTGATGTGGGATTGCAGGCAGTGCTCGGACTTGCTGAGTCAGGCTCAGTACCATGTGGCGAGAGCAAGAAAGCAGGATGAGGAGGAGAAGGAGCTTCGGGCCAAACAAGAACAGGAGAGAGACCTGCTGCGTCAGCAGATGTTAAAAGAACAGGTACTTTTGGTGCTACTGTAAAACGTGTTAGTAACTCACCATAACTAACATTTTCTGCATTACATCTGATTTTGATTCAGTTTTGAGCTACATTAAAGTGCTCTCATTAATTGGTTGGCTTACCACCCTCAAACCTCGTTAGGAGGAAAAGCGGAGCAGAGAGATGGAGGAACAGAAGAAGCTCCTGGAGCAGAGAGCTTTGTACGTGGAGAAGACCAAGAACCTGCTCACCTTCGCAGAGGGATCAAAGGAAATGGCCAAAGAAAAGAAGAAGGGAGGCGGCGGTGGAGGACGTGTGAGTGTTAGCACAGATCGCAAACTAATCAGCAGACTCTGAATTGCACTGAATGCAGTGTGTGTAACCTGCTTCTGTTTTTCAATCCCCAAGCGCAAGAAAGGCGGCGACATGGATGAATTTGTCAATGATGACTCTGACGAGGACCTGCCACTGAAGAAGAAGAAGAAGAGAAAGGGTGGCAGCGGCAGCGAGCAGGAGGAGGGCGAGGAGGGGGAGAGAAGAAGTCACGCAAGAAGAGGAGGAGGTGAGTCTGCAGCACTGTCGTCTGTTTTAACTGCTGAACAAGGCACAAAAGATACTCAGAGCAACTTTTTCCTGCATTTCAGACCTGCTAAAGGAGGAGGAGACGATGGCAGTGACGATGAGGAAGGAGGATCACGGCTCAAGAAGCAGCGTAAACCTAAAGAACGGAAGAGGATTGAAAAGGTCCTTTTAGAGTTTTTTGTTTTTCTCTTTTTATGCCGCTATTAATGTTCTTTAATTAAGTTTTGAGGCCTAATTTCTTCATGTCTCATTTTTAGCCCCAGCCTGAGCGTCTGCCACCGTCTCTCAAAGGAAAGATCAAATCTAAGGCGATCATCTCCTCTTCGGAGTCTTCTTCAGATGAGGATGGACTGAAAATAGCTGAAGACAGGTAAAAAAAAAAAACATCTACTTGGAAGTGAGAATTTACACAGAAACAGGCGCTGAGAGCATTAGTAAATCGGCAGAATATTGATGAGTACAATTTCTCCCATACAGGCATCAAAGAGACAGTGGTTCAGGATCTGATGACGAGGGTGAGGGCGGCCACAAGAAGCGCATTGCGTCTGACAGCGAGTCAGACGGAGGCAGGAACCGCTCTGGCAGTGAGGTGGGCAGCCCTCGGCGCTCTGTAGGCTCCGAGGATGACGACTCGGGCAGCGACCGCCCCGTGAAGAAGAGGAGGGTGCAGCGGCAGTCCGACTCAGAGCAATCGGACAACGAGAGCAAGAGGAGTCAGTCAGGATCAGACGACGAGTCCCGGCCCGGTTCGCCCCGTTCGCCTGGTTCGCCAGTTGCAGTGTCTGACCGAGGATCAGACAGGGGTTCTGAAGTTGGATCAGACAACGAGGGCTCCCCACGCCGCTCTGACAATGGCTCCGAACTGGAAGCCGGCTCCAACAACGAGGATGACAGCGATTAAATCTTAAAATCTTCCTCATAGACTTGTCCCATGTAATGGCGAGAAACCTCTCCACATCTGCATTTTTATTTTCTATCAAGAGCAGGGATTTCTGTCTGTATAATTATCTTGGAATTAGAGCCTAGAAATGTGTAGGTTTTCTTTTTTTTCGGGGCACAGCGTTATGGTGTTTTCCTCACGTCTTACTGGAAATTTCTTTTCCCAGATGCTGTTTTGTTAAAGATGTTTTGTTAAAGACAGAAATAATTGTTTAAAGTGAACTAAAAAGTCTGTCTATTTTCTATCTCGGATGGTCTGATGAAACACTGACCTAAAAAATGGCATGGATGCTTCAACAAAACATCAAATAAAAAGAGAACAAGGGATTGTTACATTCTGCTCCTGTATTGTACTAACACTGACCTCAGAGAAAAATACATCACAACTTTATTCTGATTTTTTTTTAAACATAAGATTCTTCTTTTGTATCCATCAGTATGAAAAAGCTGGAAGTAAGGAAATGTAACTTACAAGATGTACTTGCTGTCTCACTAAATCAACTTTAGCAACTAACAGTGTTTCCTTAACTTGGGACATTTTGATAATTCCTTATAACCTCTCTGTAAACAAGTTGACAAGATTTATTTCAGTCTGCGACTAAAATTGGCTTTCACTAAAGAAATCTAGCAGTAGTGTACTAAGTACACAAATCCTGTACTTAAGTAAAAGTACAGATACCCTTGCTAAATATCCATCCATCGTCAACATCTTATCCTGCGTACAGGGTCGCGGGGGGCCTGGAACCAATCCCAGCTGCCATCGGGCGAAAGGTGGGGTATACCCTGGACAATCAATTGGTCTTTGGATGGTGGGAGGAAGCTGGAGCACTCAAGAGAGAACCCACGCAGACACGGGGAGAACATGCAAACTCCTCACATAAAAAGGCCTGGGACGACCGGGGTTCAAACCCACGACCTTCTTGCTGTGAGGTGACAGTGACCTGGCTGCCCCCTTGCTAATTATTACTCCACTAAAACTCGAAGTCTTCTATTTAAATTTTTACTTTAAAAGTACTCATTGTGGAAAGAAATATCCTGTGACTGTTATAAAATTATATTATTACACATGCATTAATGTAAAAGTAGGATTTTACTGTTGTAATTACCAAGGGGAAGATCATTTGAACTATTTTGTATTAGAATTTGTATATTTATATTATATTTGTAAAGTAACTTAAGCGGTCAGATAAATTTAGTGAAGTAAAAAATTCCCTCCCTCTGAGATGTAGTGGAGTAGAAAGAAAGGGTAAAATGAGCACCTCCCCATTTTCTGCACCCACTTGGAGCCAAGCAGTCTTTATTCAAGTCTACCGAACTTGATTACCTCAAAGTAAGGACCATCGTATGTTGTACAATGTGTTCTAGTTCTTGTCTGACAAGTGTGCAGTCTTATACGAAGTCAGCCCTTTTGTTAGGCGTAAAAGGACAGATGATCCTCCCCAAAAACAATCTCAGAAACAAATGTGCCACTTAAAGTTTATAAAGTTCTACAACTGTGGTTGCGTGACACCTGAAAGCAAGTAATTGCTCATGATTTAACCAAGATTTTTTTAAAACAGGCAAGTCAACATTCAGGATAATGAAGTGAACTGTTAAACTTTATTCATGGTCAATCTGTAGTTGTACACTCAACTTCTTTTACACTTACAGTAAAACTCCCTAAAGAAGGTTAAGTGTACATATACAGGAATTTTTTTTTTTTTTATAATTTCATGAAGATAAAAAGACCATTTAAAAACTTGACAAATATGGCAAACAGACGTAAAATACAACTGTAGCACAGGAAACTAAGCTTTGGCTGTCTCAATGTTAAAACCGAGACATTCAAGTATAGTCCGAGATACATTAGAGGTATATCCATATGAACTGATAAATTAAAAAAAGGCCACACAGATTCATTCTTAACAGCACAAAAGTTTTGTACATAAAAAAAGCTCTTGATTCATTAAGCTAAATGTGAGTAACTGAAATCACACTGTGCAAAAAAAAAAAAAAAAAAACACAAACAGACAGGCCATTGTTAGACATCGTCAATCCAGATTGTTATAAATCTTCATACAAAATGGTCTGCTTTCAAGCACAACAATTATAATTATGGCAGCCAAAAACCGCAACTTAGGATTGTTTAAACAAATCAAGGAAAGTGTATCTTACTATTGCAACGACTCATGATATTGAGCAAAGTGCATCTAAAAACTGATAAATGCTGATAAGAGAAAAGTCTCTTTGCAATACGTTACAGCATTTTCTTTTTGTAAACAGTTTTTATGTAAATAGGGCAGCACTTGGTGACTCCTCCCAGGTGGAAAAGGTGATAAAATGGGTCAAGTTTTGGTGCTGGTACAGTTTCCTGCACAATACTGCCTACTGTTAAAGAAAACCCAAGATGACTGAAATGTCTGAAAACATCTGCTGTTGGACATAAATACAATAAGATGGTGGTGGGTGCTGGCTTGATCTGGCAAACATTTCCTAGTGGAATGAGCTGTAACAGTGGTTGGAAAATACGTATAAACAAGAGGGCGGCAAGGGGGGTTAGGTCGAGACTGAAGGGTATATGGAGACCAAAACACAAAAAGTTAAAAAAAAAAAAAAAAAAACACCAAAAAAAAAAAAAAAAAAAAACACCATTCATTGCATCCTGATAACACATGGCTTTGGCCTGTTCCTCAGTAATCTTCACCCTCCGACTCCTCTTCTTCTGCAGTCTCCAGCCAGGTCAGCCACTGGTTCACCTGCAACATTAAAACACATCATCATTAGGCAGTTATTTATGATGAACCAATATGGGAGTACAACACAAAAATGAGCAACTGAATGAGCAGAGACCCCAATAAGGTGTTTACATGCCACAGTATATCGGTTCACATATGCATTCTCTCAAAACTAGTATTTGGGCTTAACCGTGTTTCTGAAACCAAAGATGTCATGTTTACATGCACATATCAGAGATACACTGATAACCAGGATTAATATCTAAACAAAGCTGCTGTTCATTGTCTGGGAGCAATTTGAAGAACAGTACAAACAGAAATACTTGATGTATACAAAATTACCTGAAATAATGCTTTTCCCTTCCCTGGATACTCCTGGGTGACATCTTCTTTCCACGAAAGGAAGGCTTCTTCTTCAATTATTTCCATGTCATAAAAGTTCACAAAGTAGCGCAGTAACATGCCTGGAAAAGGAGAGCAAAGCTTCTGTGTAACAGTTTCATACCTTCTGACTTGGGCCCAAGCTGCCCTACTGAACGAGTGCGTGTACATACCTTTGGGGAAACCCTTGGCATTGCAGTGGACCTGCAGGGCATACAGCGCGCCGACTTGCAGGTCGACGTGATCGTGTAGGAACTTCTGCATCACCGGCTTGAAAGACAGCAGCAGTTGCTTCTCCTCATCCAGCTGCTCCTTAGTGGGCGTTGCGAACTGCTCTTCGTCGTCGTCAGGGTTGATCTCATAAGCAATGTACTGCAAGAAGCTGGCAGACAAAAAGGCAGTCAATACAATAGATATTAATACCTGAAAAGCAAAATATGTTGATCAGGGTTATATTAACAAAGCGTCGGCTGATAAAGCAAGTATATTTTGTCAGCAGAGACCGATTTCACCATTTGAAACATGGACCTCTGTTGTACCTGGTCATGAGGATGTTGACAAAGCCTTTGTCAGTGTGGAGTTTAGGAGAGATGTTGTCTTTGATCCACTTGTAGATCGACTGTGGAGAGGGATCTACTTTGATCTGCTTCAGTAGCTCTTTCTCCAGTTTCATCAGAGGGAACAAAAAACTGAGACCTTTGCCCTCCAGAATCTCCAGCATCCTGTCCTTGTTCTGGTCAATTTCTATAAGTAAGTAAGTACGTGAGTGAGTCGTTAGTAGCGCAAGACTTAGAAATGAAGACTCCATGAGATTCACATTTTCTTTTACTTGTATCATTGGAAATTTAACCAAAATAATAATCTAAACAAACTTAGAGCAAAAATATACAGGTGGGAAGATATGGTCAGAATGGGTTTGGGCATACCAGGTAGCATCTTCTGCATGTTGACCTTGCTCTGCTGGAACAGGTCAGTCAGCCACTCACGGTCCTTCAGCTTGACCATCTGCTGCAGGCACAGCAAGAACAGCGGGAAGTGTGCACCATTCTCCAGGTGATGGGCCAGATCTGCAATGCTAACCAGGCTGGTAACAATAGCGCGTGCTGCAAACTGAGCCAGGAAGGACTTGACCAATGGGACTTCTTCCTCAATCTTGGGACACTGGTCCAGAACACTCAAAAAGGCCTATGCAATAAAAACAGAACAGTTAGTACTGAATAACTGCTTGATATTCATATGGTAAAAACATACACCACTGACCTGCATTAGGTTTTCACCGGTGGCAAGGCCCTCAGCGCAGAGTGCCTGGATCAGGGTGCTTGCATGTTCCTTATCCTCATCTGAACGATCAAGAGTATAGACCACGATCTTGTTCAGCATCTCAGACAAGAAGTGCTTTGGAGCCTTCATCTCCCTCACAGCATTCACTGCCTCATCGACGTTCTTGCTGTTCAGGTAATCTGCCACCAATGTCTCCTGAAAAAAAGAAAAAGAGTGGACAGTCAGATATAGTATGGTAGACATACAGTATATTGTGCATGAAGAAAGACAGGGTGAGCGAAACTTACTGTCATTTTGTGCAGCTCTTCCTTCGTAGGAGGAGCTTTTTTAGTGGACTTTGCAGGTTTTTCCTGAATTGGAGGAGGGTTGGTTTTCAGGCCAAGCTGTGGAGACCAAACAAAGAAAGCCAAGTGAATGCATGTTCCCTTGGAACCTGATATTACCATATGAGTACAACATGTTTAATATAAAAACCATTACCTGTCCAAGTGGGGAACCTTGGGCACTTGGAGGAATCATAGTCATCTGTGGCTGCAGCTTCGGCACTTGTTTTTTATTCAAGATGAAGGACTGTGCTGGTCTCAGGCTGATCTAGAGGGGTGAAAACAGCAAACTTAAGCCATCTGAAATGTAAATTCTCTGAGCACCTTTCTAGTCTTTGCGACGACTCAAAGCGCTTTCACAATCCCAAGTGCTCAAACATAAACGAACATTCATACACTGGTGGAATAGCCACCGGGGCAATTCAGGGTTCTGTATCTTAACCAAGGACACTTCGACATGCGGGCTGGAGGAGCTGGGGATTGAACCGCCGATCTTCTGATTAACGGGCAACCTGCTCTACCGCCTGAGGCACAGCCACCTGAAAACGTAGGATTCATTTAAAATGGAGCCCAGGCTCCTCCCAACATAAAAAACCTGACGTTGCTCAACTTCCACCCAGAACCATTCTTCATTACATTATATTGTAATATTACTATGTTGGTCTATTCTGTACACAGGACATATTGCATGTCCGTCCATCCTGGGAGCAGGATCCCTCCTGTTGCTGCTCTTGATGTTTCATCCATTTTTCTCCATTAGTTTTTTGAATGTTGTTTAAAGACTGTAAAGCCCCTTGTGGCAAATTTGTGATGTTGAGCTATATAAATAAAGTTTACTTGACTATTCTTAGTTTATTATGTACACAGTTGTACCTCTTCAGCATTGAGCTTCCCTTTCTTGCTGAACCGTGGAGCCATATCCTTAGACTGCATCTGCACTGAGTGACTCTGTTTATGGTTGAAAACCGGTGAACTCTGGCCCTTTGAAGAGATTTCACAGATTTATAGTTAGAAATGACAACTTACTACACCATTACCAAGTACTAAACAATTGCATTATAGATGTACTACACATACCTGGTTTGGTTTAATGAATTGTTTGCTTCCCGCTTCAAACTGAGACTGGTGTGAACTGTTGCCATTTCCAATGTGGCCATTGTAGATCGGGTTTGAACGATGGCGCCCCATGGTAGGAGAATAGTGGTCCTGAATGACCCCTGGACCTGTACCAATGCCACTTCCTACACAAAACAAGACAAACATTAAAAACACTGCTAGAAGGGGATCAATCTTCGTGGAGAGCGGTGGGGAGCTGAGATGTACCTGGCATTTGTCCAAACATATCAGCTAGCCCACCAAGAGTTTCCCTGTCAAACTTGATCCTTGTTGGCAGGAAGGAGGAGTTTTCCATGAAGAACTCATTCCTCATTCCATCAGTTGGAGGTGGAATAAAAACACCTAAATCCTGCAAAGTACAGACAGAACCCAGACAGATTTAAGAAAACAGGCTGACTCTGGACTACTAGAGCAATACACTAATTGAGTAGTTCTATAAATATTTAATATGATTCTCACACAGCCAATGATATATGGACCACCCTCAAAGTGGTTCAGGTAGACTAACCTTTACTGCATCCTGGCGAACTTGGTTGATCGTCTTTGGGCCGTTGTCAACATAAGCTTTGCGAGGCGCCCAGTTGTTGTCTCGCAGCTCCACTGTATTCTGCAGAAGGAAACGGATCCTAGCTGGCAGTTCCTCGTTGTTTGTTAAGGATCGCATGCGGCTGAAGTACTGATCCATCAAAGACTGGTAGGAGAATGTATTGGTCATTAAATGGAAATTTCATGAGAACCATCTCCAAACATGACCAAAAAGGGATTTTAAGACAAAGACTAATACTTGGTTGTTTTCACCACATACTCACTCTAGCTTTTTCATGATCAAGTTTAGGTCCCACTGTTTTCATTATCTGACAGAGGCATTCCAAATCTTCACCCATATCCTTAAGTTGGACTCTCTTCTTCTTTTCCAAAAGCTGAAAAAGAAAAAACATTTAATACAATCTACCTTAATTTATTCCACAGGTGCTGAACTGTGACTCAAGGTATTTTGGTCATTGTCAGAATGCTTTCAGACTGGCAGCTTAATCTAGTTTTGGGATCACACAAGTTAAGAAAACTAAATAAGGTTTACAATTACAGCTAAACACAAACAGAACTTACTGTTTTGATGCACTTATGAAGGATAGACTCGTGGATAAGATTGAGTTTTCCAAGTTCCCCAATGAATTTGATGTTGCCCAGCATCTTGAGCTTTGCAATACCACGCTGCTCCTCCTCCTCAGAGGTGAGTGGGTTGTCTTGTTTGTCAAATACTACAAGGGGGAAAAGGGTTGAAAATAAGGAACAATTTATGCAAGACATGACCAGTTTACTTGATAACTGACCCAGTTTCAAATGTAATTCACTTACGTTCAACATTTTTGGCGCGGTTCTCAAACTCATCTTGAAGCTTGGAAATCAGAAGCCTTCTGAAGGTCTGTAAACAGAATTTGTAAAAAAATAAATAAAAAATAATAATCAGGACAGAAAATGCCAGAAAGTAGTGAAGTAAATACATTCTTTTGCAACTCCTACTTTAAAAAAAAAAATCTTACAGTATTCTGTTTTTGTGTTGCTTGATTTTCAGTTGATGGGCCTTCAAAGTTTGGTGCATCCTCTGCCAGGCGCAGACATAGTTGAGCGTATAACTGGCTATACTTGGGCTCTTCGAGGGCTTTGTCAACAATCTAAAGATTTAAATAACAAATTAAGTGCCTATTTCAACAAGTTATGGGAATAACCCATGACAAGTACAGTTAAAAAGAATACTCACCAACAAGATGGTTCCTTTTAAGACCAGTTTTGAATCTACACCCACATTGAGGAGCTCCAGGCATAGTTTGTCAAACTTCTCAGGAGTCAGCTTATTAAGAATGCTAATGAAGAAGAAGAGGTTTACAATTTAAAAAGACATCGCTAACATTTCACCATCAACTAGTCTCCAACTGCATATTCAGGACCCATTTAAAATACTGTGCAAGACGTTTCTATGATCTGTGTATCTGACGTCAGTATGAATTTAAATGGAAACTTACCCTCTCACTTTCCTGAAGACTGCATCATTTTGCCCTTTCTCGGTGGAGGAGTTGGCATCTCGTCTAGTGCTTCGAGAAGGTAACCATCTCTCAACGCTAGAACCTGGGGTTTTCCCCAGGAACTCGCTGAAATGGACACAAAACATGGCCAATGTTACAATACAGAAATATTTATCAGGCCAGGGCCTGACATCACAGGTATCTAGCCCAGATTCATGGTGGTTGAGTTTCAAAGGCTCTGTTGATCATTACAGAAACGCCACTTGCATGTTATTTGAGAACAGATCGTAGTCATTACACAGCAGTGACCATGGGAGAAACCCCCCCCAAAAAACAAGACTGTGGTCACATTTCCAGTGTACAAAACCATCGGCTACTCTACCATTTAGCAATCGTGCAGATATTTTAAGTTATCTCATGTTTTGACCAGTGAGGTTTACTGTACCATTGGCAAAATGGCAGGAGCTTTATCCTACCAAACAAGAAACCACCATCCTATCAGGGTGCAGAGCCATATAATAGTTAAGAGGCTGAAGAAGCCACATATGAGACACCTCCTTCTGTGTTGATGTAAAATAATGTCAACGCAATTTAAGCACTACGAGCTGCTTATGGATTTAATATGTAATAAAGACTTGTGACTAGGTGTTCCATGTGAAAGGAAAATTTGGAAAATCACCTGTTGCCGACAGTCTTGGGATAGTGCTGAGGTGCACCCCCACCTCCTCCCCCTACACTGCGATACAAAAAAAAATAAAAAAAAGGAAAAAAGGTTTTAACTTAACATAAGGAAATGAGAACCTAAGCCTTTATGTAAGCTGCTTAAGAGGTTTTTCCCAATATAAATACTTGCCACAAGAGTGGTAGGATAATGTTTAAAAGGCTACCTGAAACGAGAAGGACCCCCTGGTGCAACGACACTCTCCACTTTGGCGGCTTGACAACGGATATCTGAAAAGAATAATGTTCTGGGAGAGGGGAAGGAAAGAGCGACCTGTAGAGACAAATACAGTGACAAATAAGCTCACTGTTGTAAAATGCAAACAGACGCACATTTGGGCATGATCAAGCACATTACAAACAAGCGATAATAATATCTGACCAGGCACGTTTCATTTTTATTAACTGGTAACGAATTCCAGGCAAATTGCTCCGCACATGAGCGCCTACACGTGTCCGTACAAGCAAATGTGAAACTGGGTCAGTGTTAGCCTAGCACACTGCTGTGCTAGGTGATGCTAGCACACCATGTCGGCGGTGTTGTGTCGACGTCAGCTTGCCAATCGCTTTGTGTTTCGCATCATCTTTACCCAACCCTAAACCAGTCGTTTTCCCCGAGTCTCCTAAACATGATCTATCGCTAACACAAGTTGTCCGACCTTATCTTATATAACTTAACCCAAGTTATGGAGGGCAGCGCTACGGGAAACGCTATCCGAGGGGGAAGCCCGATTTCGACACACGATCTGGATTACATTTTCCTAGTTGGAATTATCCAGATCCGACAGTGATTTCAAATCGATCAATTTTGTATACCTTGGAATGAAATAAATAGCAAACACTTGACAATATATTTGTAACATTTAAGTATCGTTACGTGGCTCCTATTCACATCCCCCAATTGACGTTAGTTATACGATTTACACAAAAAAAATAATTAAACACAGGGCGTTTAAAACCCCGTGGTCCATCATGGTGACTTTTTATAATCCAACGAAAGCGTTATTAACTCAGACTTGATGGATTTAAATGTAGAGCAAGAAGAATTTTATGGAGGTCTTTGTTCAGACACCGGATGTCCACAAAAAACGGGTTTTGTTCTACAGGCCGCCGGGTAACGTTAAGATAACGAGCGGTAAGCAACTCCTTGAAACCAGTCTAGGTTTTCCTGAACCTAACAGCTACTATTTTATTTCCAAAGAGGTCAGCTATGCTAAACTAATAAACCCACAGTGGTATTTCATCGCCTTGTTTAATCACCTTAAGCCTAACTTCCTGCTAACGTTAACGTTAAACCGGTCAGTTAGCTAGCGTTGTCTAGGCAAGAACCCCCCCCCCCCGAAATAGCTTACCTTTACAAAAGGAACGTCAGTGTTATTGTTGTCGAGCCGACAAAGAGATGGAAAAATATAGACAGAATAGAAAATATAGCTTTAAAAAGTCGCGTTAAACCTACAAGGTTTGGTAATGTTTGTTGAAACACGACGGACCAGTGGCTGTAGCTAACTGCTACGGTGAAGAAAGAACGCTGACTGTTCACCTACGTCATGCGGAAGCCGCTTTTTGTGTGGCGGCTGTCGCAAACGTCATCATCACACCCTGCCGACGTCACGAAAAAAAAACAAGGTGTTATGAACATTTCGTAATCTCACTCTCATCGGAGCTGCATGTCAGGGATCCTGCCCACAGGGTTTCTTCTCTCCCGTGGTATTTATTTGGACATGGTCTGGGACAAATGTTATGTATGTATTAAACATTTTGACTTTATTATAATTCAACATTATGACATGGTAATTCATAATTTCTCATTTCATAAATTTGACTTGGTATCTCCTAATATTGGTTTGTCATCTGACAATTTTGACTTTTCCATCTTAAAGTCTTAAAGTAAAAAGGTATGAGATAGTGAGTGAAACGTCTTGTAACTCTTACACTTTCATAAATCCGAAAACTATCTATTGACTTTCCCTATTACAGTTGTGACATTTCAACTCATAATTTAAAGTCAAAAGGTATGAGATAGTGAGTGAATCTTCTCCCAACTCTCCTAATGTTTCATGTAATAATTTGAAGTCAGATCTGTGAAATAGTGAGCCAAAATTGTATTCATCTCATAATTTTGACTTACCGTGAGGATTTTATTTTTAACTTGTCTAATATTTCGTCTATCTTTTTCTGATGGAAATGGTCTTCCATAGAAAAGTGACCTCTATCATAGCAGAACAAAACTGACTGGATTGTATACTCGCCGGTGAAACTATATTGATCGTCTCAGGGATACTCAATTTTCCTGCCCTCTTTTACAGTGATGTCCAAGCACAGGGTTAGCTACAGGGTATCGACTCAGGAGCCGATATGTTTTTACTCAACGATGCCATAGCAGGAGGATTGATGGCTGCACACATAGGACTCAACCTATTCGAGAAACAACATTAGTCTGCCACCCCGGTGCCCAAGTGTTTATGAGCCAGATAGGAGTAAAACGTTTAACCTATTACAACATGCACAAATGATTTAACCACTTATATTTACCATTGACCCATAGACTATATAAATGTTTGACCACATGGACACAAGGGCATATATTCACACTCTTGCTTCTGTTTCTGCAAAGCCGCGAATATCTCAACGAGAGCTACATTCGCATGACGCTGTCACAGACATTAATGGTCCCCAAAGGATTCCTAATGATTTTTGTGACAACCTGACCTTTCAAAAACTAATGGAAAAAAGTCTTTAAAATTTGCAGTGGATATTCATGGCCACCAGAAGATGAAATATAATGTTTATGGCGATCACCTGACATTTCCTGTAGCACCACCATTGTGACAAAATGTCAGCCTATTTCTCCTCCTTCCAGAGCAGGTTTTTGCAGACTTTTCTGGCTCTGTGTTCAGAGCAATGGTTCAGAGTGGACCGTAAAATCTTCATCTAAACTTTATTACAGTTGTAACAGTTTCATAAGACATCCCGTAGATTGTGTATATTTATGAAGAATACCACACCAGTACTATGTTCACACCGACTTGGAAAAATGAGTCACGTCCTCCATCTGCCAGTAAAACACTACCGGGCGAGGCCAGGCTGGTAACGCCTCTTTGTGGCTCAGGTTACATCGTGCCGCCCAATGTGCAAGTGTCATGCTTATGAACATAATCCAGATAAAACAGGACATATTAAATTAGTCTGGCAAAGTGTATTTCCTGAACTTACAAACTTTTATAGTGCCAAGTCACAGTAGTGCCAAAGCAATATTAAATCTAGATAATCATAACAAGTTGAAAATGTAAGCCAGTGAATTTCCACTTGTTGTTGTTTGGTTAGACCTGCATAGTGAGTGCGTCTGGAACTCTTTGTACTGACATCTTTGGTGGTAACATGAGTTTAGTAGAAACTGGACTCTAATGTTAAATACACAATGGACAAAATACTTAAATCAACTTGTCTTAGATCAGTGATTTACAACATTTTTGGTATTGTAACCCTTTAAAGTGAAGCAGTGTGTGATATTTCCTACTCAGGTTGTTTCATTTGAATATTTTAATAGTTCTGTAGACTGGTAAAACAAGCCAGTAGGCTATTTCAGAATGAAAAAGCAAACATGGACGTTGAGTTCAATGAATATTCCATTTGTGGAATATGTGCTTATTTGCTTTCTGGTGAAGAGTTAGATAAAAAGATTGATACCAGTCAGTCAATAGTTTGGTCACACATACTGGAAATCCTTCTTTCATATTTCTTATGTATTTATGCAACCTGAAACACTTCAAAGTTATCTTGTGACCCCTTGTGATGTCCTGACCTCCAGGTTGGGACCCACTGTTTTAAGAAAGTCTCAAATCCACTATGAGGTTTTGCTTGTGGTCAGCTAAATTAAGTGTATCAGAATGGAGGTTCAAGACATAAAGAAAGACAATAACACTGTAAGAATGACATGTTTATTCAGTTATATATACCTTATCTAATCACTGAGTGAAGTTTAAAAGATGACTGGTGGTATTATTATAGACTTATACTCCTATCACTTTCAAAGATGTTTGTTTTATCATGTTTATTTTATAAATGTTCCTTTTAGTTTGGGGAGCTTTAGACCCCTTCTTTATGCCTGCACTTGTTTGCTGCTTCATTCCTGGGGGGCATCAATCATTCATCAAACGCAAAATGAAGCCAGTTGTCTGACTATTAACTATTAACTATTAGCTTAATTAACTATTTAGTTAATTAAGCCCAGTTTGCCAATAAAGTCAGCAAAGGCTAGCTTTGCACTCGAGGTGAAACAGTCAGTTTCAGTCGGAGATGGTGTTAAGTTATTTATTATTTCACTGGTTTGCTTTGTTTCTCTTTGATGTGGGCTTCACTGATCTAATGATGTTCTTTGAACCTTGTTTGAACCTTTAGTATCAAGTTGAAAGATGTGAATGCAAACTATATTTTCACATATTAGCCATCATCACAATAATACTAATGTACTTTAACATTTAACTAACACTGTAAATGTGTTGTTCAGTAAATTGCTTAAATTTATTCTATGTTGGTAAAAGTACAATGTTTTAACTATCCATTTACAGATATGGGCAGACTGGCCGACCCTTTTAAAGTGAGTAATTGTAAAGCTAATTTAATATTTAACACTATTTTTTTTATTCACTCAAAAAGACCACCCACTATTAGGGCGCAGTGGGCGTCCACATTACAGTGCCCAGAGATCAACTCCATTTCTAAGGCCGATGCTTTAATCACAGGAAAATGTAGGACTATTCCTAAAATGTTGCATGAATGTCCTTAGGGTGGGAGCAAACCTGCACGAACATGGGAAAACATACATGCAAACACCACATAAAAGCCTATGTAGCCATAATGGAGTTTAAACCCAAATTCTTCTTGCTTTGAGACTATAGAGCTGACTGCTGTGCTTTCCAGAGACTGATAATGTGGCCTCAGAAATTGTTTAACCAACTTGAAGACAATGAAAAAAGCTGAATTCATTCTAAAAAAATCTTGACCTTGGAAACAGCAGCTGATGATCTCAGAAAGTGCTCGGAAAAATGGAAATTGGACCATCCACAGTATATTTCCACACGGGCAACTCCATCTGCTGAGGAAGATTGTGTGATATGATGATTAGCTGCTGTTGTCAAGAATGATCTTTCAGCCTCGGTTTAGCCAACTTGACTTTGAACGTCAAGGAACGTCAGTATTTCCTTACTCATTAATGAAACATTAAAATCAGATTTTTTTAATTAATAAGAAATCAACTCCATTACAGTGACACCTCAAAGGGACTGAATGTGCATCCAAATTCCCTTGAGTAAAACATATTT